AAACCGACTGGCGCTCCATTCAGATCGAGAACTATAGTGTAGAGAAAATTTGACGTTGTGGCGTTCTTTTTGCCCTCTACAATAAATTTATCCTTAAAATGTTTTAGCAAGATGCATGATGTAGATTATTGTGGTACTAAACTTTTTTAGTTAACCGTTATACAGTTTTCTCATAATAGGTCAACGCGGTTCACCATAAAAAATGAAGAGCGTTATAGTTTTGCAGCCTGCTTTTGCCCTATTTCTCCTGTTTCTCCATTTCCAATAGCTGACAATGTGTTTATTGTTCCGATATTTTGGGATTCGGCAGTAACATTTATGCAACGTATCGACCGGTGGACAAAATTTATGGATTTACAGATTAACCGGCACCCACTACATCGATGCAGACGGTGCTTGACTGTGGTGCATTTTATTTCAAAATTGGAACTATTGTTTTAACCTATCGTGAATTTAATATATTATTAATAAGCAAATTGGAATTTGATAAAATTTTTAGATAAAAATTCTGCACAAAAGCTAGAACATTTGTTATTGTTTCGACAGCCAGGGGCTAAAATGTCCAGAAAAATACGATCTATAATTTGCTCGATATGCTTATATCCCAGATTATTTAGCGAAACCAACGTCGGTGAATTAAATATAAAACTTCTCTTCTTCCAGGGACTTGCTGGCTGAAGCGCAATTCGCAATTGTCTAAAATAAATAACAGTACAACACCATTTTTGCAGCTAACGGGTGTAAAGCTTGCATCCAAACTCCATCGCGGATTTACTTTTATTAAGGAAACAACAATTTAATTAAAGAGCGTTTGTTTGCGTTTTTAGGTTTATTAGAAGGGTGATCCCATAAATTTCTTCAATTAATTTTAAATTAATTTCTATTCTAATTATAGCTTTGAAACTGGAATGCAGGTCCTCAAAAAAAAAACGGAATAGTTATGCCCGAATTACCCGATTGTTGGGTGCAATCCGGGCGCTTCTTCAGGTGGACAGAGAAACGACCAGGGTGTGGTTATATGATGTCAGACATGGAGCGGATCTTGAGGAAGACCAAACAGGTTGCTGTCGCACGGTGGGCCAGGGAGAACCTAAACTATTGATATGAACCCATAATACATTTCGTATAAGAACGTTTTCCTTATCGTAGACTAATTAACAAAATTCACAAAACAAGCGATTTAAGTCGTTTAATTACCATGGAAACGTCAACAATAATTTTGTAACTTTTTGTAATTTGTAATTTTGTAATTTTTTTTGGACAGTATCATTTTGAGAACGTTTTATTTATACAATTTTCCGTGTGAAAAGTGGAGGGGATTTTGTTAAATAAATTAGCTTTTGACAAAATTCAAAATCCAGGGCGTTCGTAAAGGTAAGTTTTGAGACTAATTTTATACTAAGTCAATTACTCTCTAAGGCAAATTATCCTTAAAAAATTCTAAATTCTGTGAGTTATATTAAAAAAATAGCTGAAAAAACTATGTTTGTAATTTATTAAGCAATATGTTACAATTTGAGCATAATTTAGGGATACTGTTGATACTATGCATTAAAGTATCATGTTGTGGTTTCACGTGTAAGATACAATCTTGCTCCCATTTGCTCATTTTTAAAGAACTTACCAGGTGGGCAAAAGAGACGGAGAAAAATGTTTTTCGTTATTAATATATACATTTGTTTTCTCGTGCTTTTGCGCAAAATTGTGGACACCTTGTTAGTTATAAATTTTTTGATCATGTAATGTAATAAATAACAATAAATGAACTATTAATCTGTATATCTAATCTATTTAAGGAATTTTGGCAATGCCAATTTGCCTATATTGAGTACATTATGGGGTTTTGCAAAATAGATATTTTACCTTTGGGTAACTGCGGTAAGAAAGTTGATTGATGTCTCCCTTCCAGCCGCGGCACGGAAAACGGACAATCGACTCCGAAATGAAATAACTTGTAGAGAAATGAAACAGAGTGCAAGTCTCAGTGCAAGGTCAGAAGCAGTATAACCAACCTTCCCAGCAGACGGTAATTATCAACTACCAATATAGAAGAATATCACGAGTTCTCATTAGATTCCGTCTCACTCTAAATGAAATATGCCATACATGCATTATTGGTTCGATCTTGAACTCCTAGTTCACATGTTAAAACGTTATCTATAGTTATCTATATGCAAGAAGAAACGAAGTGGTATCCAAAAATCATATCAATATTTTCATAATCTGTGATACTTTCCGTGTTTTTCAAACTGTATATTTCTATGTATTGTTTAGTTGAAAGTGTTGTCTTTTGATAAGAGGATAGGTAGCTTATTAGGTAGCGGAGATCAAGTCTAGTGAAATGACCGAAAATGGCTTGTAATATTATTTAGGTAGGCGAGGTTTCGCAATCAGCCTTGACTGGCTTATTCTCCGCACATCAATCATTGCTTGAAAGATAGGAAATGAACAAAGCCAGTCCGATCTAAATTTTATATACGAGTTTCATGTACGGCTTTTGTTTCACTGTTGCGAAATACTGTTGATTGACTGGCACGAAACTGCTAGGAAGTGTGTACCGGAAGCAAGGCCTGCTTGAAATTTGTGTCGAAATTTGACCGTCCGGGCTATTATGTGGGTGAACTTTCGAATTGCGAGTCTTGGGGGTTCACGCTGAACTTCGTTCCTCAATATGTTTCTTAAAAAAAAAACGATTATAATTATTAACTCAACTTATATCTGAGAACAACATAAATATCATAAAAACGTTAACTTAAATGTTAGTATGCCGCTTTGCTTGCTTCAAGTTCAATTTTTAAATGACATGAATTGCACGCGTTTTTTTATTTTAAGATATATGTAAACCTAGGTAAGAAAAAGAATACATGATAGTATTGTAATCAAATTCTTTGCAACGAGATATTCTAGTTTGACAATTTCATTTGTTATATTTGTCTTTACCAGGTGGTCCATTTTTATGGCCATAGCAATGCAGTATTAAAAAGAGAAAAACATGTAAAAGCTGCCTTGTGTGCAAACTCAACTACAAAAAATGTTCATACATTCACGGAAAAGTTTCTCCAATCCGTTAGTCTTATGTTTTTAAACAAACAATCTTACAAAATGTTGCCATCGTGTCATTGCTGTAATTAATAGGGGTTAGATGATAATGATACCTATAGTCGCCACTAAATACGAATTTTCTATTCGCACTTTAGAAGAGCACTCCAGATGTTTAATTTAATTATTGTAATGAAAAACGGAGCATCATACAAGAAAAATGCAGGAGGTGATTTTAATGCAGGACTTACTAAAGAAAAGTTTCCCCTAAAAAAATGTCAGCGGCGTACCTTTTTTATCTTCAAAAATATGCGCTGTAAATCGCGGACCGATGCCGCTAGTAAAGACCTCTCGATACACAAAATGGAGTTACCAAAAAAGAATTTACTGAAAACTTTAGCACTTAAAAGTTGAGATGTTAAGGACAGTTTTTTTTCTTATTTCTTCTGATATGTACGGTGCGTTCAATTTATTTTAATATTACATTATTTTTTTTAATTTTACACAATTAACATTTTAATTGGCTGTAAGTTTTTGGTTTCTAGAGATATCAAGTTAAACAAAAAAATAAAATTTACGGTTAGTAGCCAAGTTTTTTTCCAAGTCAAACAAAACACTATAAATTTTCTGACATATAAGGCTACATCATATTTTTTTAAAACTCTCTGTATATTGTATATGTGTTTAATAGAATATCTTATTCCGATTACAATGATGTAAACATTTTATATTTAAGTTCACTCGTTTTTGACAAATTGGCAAAAATTGGAAATTTTCATATAACTTCAAAGAGTGCAGTGACTGACTGCAACAGCAATAGTTATTTACAAATTAAAATAGAACAAAAACACTAAAAATGACAAGACACACTAAAGAAAAAAAAATCTTTAACTATTCTAAATACTGCTGTATGTGACCACCATCTTTTCTGTTGTCTGTTGCCTGGCCAATCCATAGTTCCGCCGTTCCCTATCCAACCCGTGGCATATTCCATGTTAAGAAAATTTTTAACTTGCACAAGATTGTGAGGAGGGGCACCGTCTTACTGCCATGTAATCAGCGCTGATATATTTAGGGGTTAATCTTCTATATATTTTTCTGTTTGGTGCTCTTAAGAGTTTCAAATAATGATCTCCAGTTAACTTATGATCTATAAATATCACACCTAAAATATGCCCATTTATGACACCGCACCATACATTAATTCATTGGGCTTTTATTTCGAGTATTTGTCTACGATTATTTAAAGACCAATATCGCGTATTTTTTCTATTACAAACCTTTCTTGTAGTGAACGAACTTTCAGCAGCCCATAAAATTTCTATTTAAAAAATCGAAAGAAGACTGCATCCTCCTTTGACATTATTCTGCACTTAGTTTTTGCGTTTTAAGACATTTAAATGCATTATATTGATATCCTTTTATATCTGTTTTGAAGTAGCTTGGCGCTCTGGATAAAGTCACAAAACCATTTTAACAATAATGACTTGGACAATAATTTAACCATCAACGTTGTTTACTAACATGTCAATCATAATTGTATTTTTATTTGAAATTATTAAAAAAATCCTAATTTTGCCAATTTGTCAAAAACGAGTGAACTAAAAGATAAAGTGTATTCATTGTAATTCCATTTAAAAAAATATGATGTAGGCTTATATGTCAGAAAATTAATAGTTTTTTGTTTTATACGTCACTCGAAAAAAAAACTTGGCTTCTAACTCTACATTTTGTTGTTTTGTTTACCTTGATATCTCTAAGAACAAAACATTACATTACATTACATTACATTAGTCAGGTGTAAGTCGTATCTTCAATTTGTTCGCATGTCCATTACTTTTTTAGTAATTATATAATCCGCTTCTATAAAAGAACTGTCGAAAAATAAATGAAACCACAACATATATGTGTCGGGACCGAACGGTCAAACCCGTAATAGAACTAATTGACAGCAAACTTACCAGATATCCCGTCGTAGGTCCACCACTCTTCCCAGCTGACCGCGCGGGTAACTAAAACCAACAAAAACGTGCATTTTAAAAGATTGATCGGTGACAATAATTGATGCATGGGGCTATTACTACAGTGCTTCGCGCAAACTCATATTTTATGGGCTTTGTCCGACTTTGCTCCCGGATTATATCCAACCACGGACACACGTCGCGGCCCGAGTGTTTGTCAGCCGCGTATCTCATTTTTAATCTGGATTATCTCGCAACTCGTCTGTTTTTTAACACCAGTTGGAATTTGTCAAGTCGATTCGCTTGCTCCGTTGCTCCGGCTTACGTTTACGCCCCGCCGGATGACTAATTTCGGATACTAATTGCATCAGGGATGTCTTTATCCAGCTAATAATTGTTTAGAAGCGGATATGTTGCGATTGGCCTAATTGGGGGGATGTAAAAGCGCGTGTAACTCGAAGCTAAATTTTAATCCACTTTTCTCACGGTTAAGAACTAAATGCAAAATCGAAAATTGTGTCAGAATGCCCCAGCAGTGAAGTTCACTGATTGACAACTAATGTGATATGAAGATGTAATGCTTTTTAATTGTTGAATGAAGTGAAAGGAAATAAGTACGAAACTGTCAGTTTTCCTTGTAAGGGATTTTAATAAGCAAGCTAGATATTTTGATAGAGAATATGTTGGAGAACCAATTGTGCTGACATTGAACAATTAAAAACCATTACATTAGATACACAAGATATTCTAGTTAGTTTCGACGTATCAAAGTTCCTATTCCTGAAACTCTCGACCTCATTTCAGTTATATTAAAATCCGAGAATCTGGAACCAAACCTTCTCACCTTAATTGAAAAATGCTTATCGGGAACGTATTTTTCTTATAACGGTCAAATTTTTGAACAAACGTCGGGAACAGGTATGGGTTCTCCACTATCACCAGCATTGAGAAGAAACGTGGGCAAAAGAAGGATGGAGGGAGAAGGGCAAAATTCAGGAAGACAATGTTCCTGTACGAAAATGAAGTGTCGATCGACCAAGGAAGATAGAAAATCTATTAATAATAATAATTAGAAGAAGAATATTAATTATCAATTGTGGCCAAAATGATTTGTAAAATTTATTAATACGCATTATATTTGTGTCTGAGATTTACATATCGTCTACTCTCCTCGTTGTGGCACTGTATTTAAAAGAGAATATGACGACTGCTAGTTGGAAAAAGAATACGGACCTAATTGAGTGCACTATCTGCAAAATCAAATCTTTAATAATTGTTTCTCGTCCCTTCTGTAAAATATCTAATTATACACCGATCTAGCGTGCGGAAAGTGTCATTTCATCACGACAGTTTCGTTTCCCATGGATCCGAGTCACTTTGGACATCTCCGGGATATTACCGCACAGGTTTGGGAGCAATCGGATGTTTTGGGAAATATTACCGCGCGGCTGGAATTTTGACGTTTGTCGTTGAAAAAGTCTAGTAGCAACAAGTTTGATAAACTTTTTAAGTCACTCATTTATTAAACACTCGCTCCGCTGCGCTTCGCTCATACCAAATAAACTCGTAACTCAATGCCGTTTATGCATATATTTTATTTTGCTAGTTCTAAATATTTTCGGCATTATGATCATTTAATGAATTTGAAATGAATGAAAAATGAATTTTAGTTATACCAAAGTTTGCGTGATGTCCCTGGTTTCCTGTAACTTCTTTTAATATTTTTAGAAATTAGATGCCGATATATACCCACATATTCCAAAGCCTATATATCTTATGACCCAGCATCCACTAGCTCCTTGTTTTTAAAACACAGCGTCTAAAAGATTATGGCGTTCGGAAATATGTATTTTGGAAACCCGTAAATAGGATTGAAGAAAATTTGCTGTAGTTACTTAACCCTTTACACCATGGGAGTGAAACTTAATTTTGGGTTATCTTCGTCAGTTACCAATCCACGGGAAGAAGCTTAAATTTGCCCAAAACTTAAGTTGTTGATTTTTACTTATCTTTACAAATCAAAAAATTACAAAACGAATTCCTCGCGACCTCGATACTGGAAAAGTATCTCAGTTACAGATGCACCAAATTTTATGGGCAAAATTACTTACAATCGGCAACTAAATAATTGAGTTAATTTTTTCTAATTCTTCCGTATTTCCACTAATGAAGAAGATTCCAAACCAGGCATCATTTTTTTCTATATAGGTTTGCTAGCTATGACCAATTTTGTATAAGTGACATTACAGATTTCCAAAATATTTGGACTTCAGTCCCTAATTTGCAACAAACGAATCAAATGTATTGTTTTGGTACGAATCTATGTTTTTGCTAATTTTAAGTGGAACTAAACATCATTAAAATCTAGAGGTACGTAAGTAATATTGCCTGCAAGCAACAGGCACGAATTCATTTAAATTCAGCTACATAGCCAGACAAACTTAGACGTCGCATCAGTTTATAGCCCAACAAGCAGCAGACTACGTCCTTTAGTAAACGATAAACCAATTTCCCCGGGAACGAATGTCTAGTGCGAGAGAAACTGACCCCTAAAATATCATGCACTTCGCCGAGTCCCACAGGAGGCGGCTATAAGATTGCAAACTGCTCGCGTTACAAATTAGCCGACTCAGTCGCAAAATTCCGAATTTGCGAGGCCCCGGAAAAATTAAGCCATTTATTATTAACAAACGAAAGGAACAAGTTTCCGCAGCGGGGAATTGTTTTACTACTGTAGGCCTCTCGCCCATACAAGATAATAATATTTCATCGTCCTAAGACAACATTACGAAAAAAATTCGCCGGGTATTTAAAGCCGGTCCCACACGTTTCGTCCAATTTTTGACGCAACTTTTATTCCGACATTGGTTGACACTACTTTGTGAGTTGAAGTCAGTGTCGTGACAAACAATGTTAGACTCGTAGAGTGCAAACTATCTAAGATGGCATATGCGATATACCTGGCAAAGTCAGTGGCGTGTCATAAATATTTTCAATATGCTCTACCTTCCTTCTAAATTGGCAGCGATGCGGAGTTTTAAATTTAATAACATTTTTGAATAGTCGTTCAGTATGACGATATCGCTATCAAATGTTATCAAATATATCTGCCGACTCTGCTGCCACTAAATAAATATGCCAGAAGAGGCGCGAAGAAGTACTTATGATAATTTTGTGTTTTGGTTATGTATTCACGTAAAACAGGATTAATAAAAGCAGATTTCTCAAATTTACCAGAAGTTGACAATTTTATGGCAATGAACTGTTTTAAATAAAATACAGACTTAATAAGTGCGGAAATTCTAGGAATAATATTGCACATCGAAGAGTCTATAATATTATTATTAAATTGATGACATGTAGTTTAAGGCAATCCAAAAATCGACCACTACAGGCTTTAATTTCACCTTTTATTTTTCATTGGCGTTGTGTATATAAATCGTCAAATTAGTTGAAATTTATGAAGTAAAATATTAATTCAATAGAGAAATTAATTTTCTAACCATAAAAAGTTCTTGGGACTCCTCCAAATAATATATATTTTTTAGATTAAGAACCTAGGCAAATAAAAATAGGAATACTAAGGTACTCTGAGATCTTAAATAATTGTCTTCACAACAGCGTGTACGGGTTTTGTATGTTAAAAAAAAACATCTCGACGTATCGCATCCTGCCAGACTGTTCTCTTTTTCGGATCGGAAGGTACGCCCATAAATAGTTTTCCTGGAGCATTTCTCGAAGTATTTGACAGTTTGGAACAACGCAATACCCAATAGGCACTCTCGGCGCTCATTTTAACTTTCTAATCTCACCACTCATAACTTTGCAATTAAAAGCGCTCCCCTTGCTACATGGACGATGCCGCCGATGATGAAGATAATGACGTCACCGTGAGGCCAAGCCCCATTTTCGGGCAGTCCAAGTTCTTTACGGACTTTAACATTCTACCAAAAAAGAGAAATTTTGTATAGCGCTGTAGAATGTGTTCTAGTTTCGGTTTTCAAAAATAAAAAAAGTGGAACAGGCCCATTGTCCAGATCCAGGCAGTCATTTTATTTTTTTAACCTCCCAAACTATGCAATAAAATAGATATTTACTAGCGATAAAGAACGCAAAACCTATAGATAAAGGACGACCCAACAAGAAGTTGTTAACAAGTAACGTACTCTTGCACTATCAAAAATCAGAGTGTACTATTTGAAGAAAATTTGAGAATCGAATCTGTGGACGAACGTTTATTTTATTGTAATTTGAAGACAATTGGTTGCACTTTTACTTATTGTAATTTATAAGAATAACGTCCAATTATCGTTAACCTTTAAGTATTGTAGATAGGGTACCATGTCCCCGGTATATTTTCACTTAATAGTTGCTCGGTCACGACAGTAGTGAAGGCAAAATCTATGCAGCATCTCCCTCTTATAAAAAATTAACGTTACACTAGGTGAAACAGTCAATCGTATGCTTCGTTATGAAAATTTTGCTTTAATGTATGGATCCATTAATTTTTCATTGTTTTGGCTTTATTTTGTCACAAGAGGGCCCAGATTCAAAAATTTCAAGAAAAAGGTGGTTATTGCTATATTATCTAAAAGTAATCTAACGTAATAGAGTCCAGTGTGCGGAAAATAGAATATAGCAATATAGCCAATCATGAAAGCGTTGAACACAAATAGCCATGTGTCCAAGCTTGCAAGATTGCTCGTGTGGGACCAGCTTAACTCGATTTAATTTGCATTTACACAAAACGGGACGGGCAACGGTCACTTTTATTTTCGAAGTCAGTGTGCGGAACGGTTCAGAAAGGAAGCAAATTTGATTTTTATCTACGCTTTCACATACAAATTGTTACAAATTGCTTTAAATACGTTATCGTGGAGGAACTCTCGAGAGGGAAAAATTTAAAGTAATAAATTTGATGCGCACGGCGGGCATGTATCAAGAACACTTTCCTGCACGAAATTGCGTTCGACCTACGACGTTATGCAACATCATGCGCGGTTTTTGTGGTGTTTCTCTTGCAGCCATTGCTTTTCGATCGACTCCAGAAC